TTGAATCATGACGCAATTATTTTTGAGGATTTTGGGAATTGAGTCAACAGCAAAATAATTTACGCCACATGTATAGTCCCACTGAATCAGTGTGCGAATGACTTCCTATGGGAAACAGGGCTTAACAGATTATGGCCCCAGATATTATTTTTAATTCGGATCAACCACCTTCACCTGGGGTTGAACTGATATCTTGTGATCTGACCTGTGAAGTGTTAACCACTACACTATGGACCCACAGGTCACAAATCTAAATTCATTGACAAGTGTTCTGCAAATTATATGATAGTTTAGCTTTAGTATAGTATTATATATATTGTATTACTGTTTTCCAAAATTGGATAAATAAATGCAACTCTTGCAGTCTGATTAGAGGCAAAAAAAAAAAATAATAAATTAATTTTTTATAAAAAATAATATTTAATAGATTATATAAAAAACTCTCTCCTGATCATATCTGTTTTGTTAAAAAATTTTCTTTTATAGTAATTTTAAGCAAGAAAAAATGTTTTACACTCTTTACTACAAGTGAGCCCCAGCTCAAGAACTCAAAAACCTTCAAGACAACTGGTGCAGTGGGATGGGACCTTTAGTCAAAGTCTACTCAAGTTTGAAAGTCTTGCTTATTTTTCAGTTACATAAGGAAAGGCCTGTGACAATTCTTTTCTCTTTTGTTCTCTTGCATCCCTCCTTCTTTCTATTATATCATAAAAACCATTTACATCAATACTATTATACTCACTAAACCAAACACTTTTCAAAAAATATACTTAAACAATATTGTTGGATCTATTGTTTGTTTTAACACAACCTTCACATATAATCTTACCATGATGCTAAATATTGTGCCATTCCAAAATCTTCCAAAATTTTTTTCAAAAAACCAAAATCAGTTTATCCCTCCAGATAATTGTCGCTCTCCAATTATCCAATCAGATTTCATCAAAACAACAAAGAAAAAACTAAGCCTGTTTAAACTAATTTTTTAATATCACAACAATAATAACAACTACTATAACAATAAATAATATCAACTATACTCTACTATTCATATTAACAAGGATCACATCTCTAAGACCAATGCCAATGCAAGGGCTGGACTATTGGTTATCTTTTAGATATTTTTTTTGTTTATATAAATTTTATAGTTTAGGTGACTTTGTTTTAGTTGCAATAGCTATAGTTGTTATTTTCTTTTTATTTATTTTATATTCAAAAAATCAAAAGATTTCACAAAATTTTGTTGAGTAGGTAGGTATAGCCACTACTTTACCATTTGATATTTTAATATTGCTTTTGAAATTTTTTACAATATTAGTTAAATAGTGATCAAGTAGACAAGCTAGCATTTAACTTGTTATATGCAATATGCATCCAAAAGATGTTGTTTCTTTCTCAATATATATATAATTAGTATATGATAATAAATAAAGAAATAATGTTTACCTGCTGGGAAAAACCCCTCCAAAAAAAAAATATTTAATAGATTATAATATTAAATATTATATTAATTTTATTTAATTATTTATCTAATCAAATAGCAATCAATATCAGTATAAAATTTTAAAAGTAATATATTAGTATCTAAAATATCTAATAAAATAATACATAATAATTAAAAATTTTAATCACCTTTACAAACAGAGCTGATAATAATAACAAAAGTTCTTTGTTTACTTCTTAACAATATAAGTTTATATGTATGGTTAGATAACAATGTTTTTAAGAAATTTTAATATAACTTTATTTATTAAATATTTCTATTATGTTTGAAAAATGAATATATTAAACTTTTTATATAACTTGAAAATTAACTTGTGAAAAATGACTGTAGTACTTTCATATATAAAAAAAATCAATACTCTCCTTACTTTTATTTTACTTGCTATATATTAAGTCAACTTTAAAAAACAAGTATATCAAATTTCAATTATGACTTAAAGGCAAATCTATAGTATATACTTAATTATAATATTTTTATATAATTGAATATTACAAATCTTTCTAGTTCTTTACTAGATACTACTTAAGATTATATAAATTTTGATAGTTTTTTTGCTACTATTTAAATAGTAATAAAAAAAAATTAAAATATATGAATTATTTTTTTGAGACCTGCATTAAACTTTTTTTAGTAAAGAAAGATATATATTAGTCTCAACATTTATAATATTATTAAAAAGTAATTTCTTATAAATAAAAGTTCAGTTAATTACTATCTCACTTTTTTTAAAAAAAATAAAACAATAGTTTAAATTATATATATGATAAAATTGAATTCAAATATTTTTCAAAATTCATATTATAATAAAATATTAAATAATATATCTGTTATATATTATTGGTGTGAAAATCTAGCAAGTTGGTCACTGGAGCTTGCCTCATGCCGTGTAACAATAAGGCGGGTCTTCTCCTCAAAAGAGGCATGTGAATTTGATCTGGGCTGTCAAATAATGACACAGATCTACCAATAGATTCAGTCACAAGGAGGTTATAACAGGTATAGCAATTCCATGAATATAGTGTGTTGGGGTTGTGTAATGGGACAAATGTTTAACAACAGGATAGGACAGATAAGAAGAAAGTTGCGCAGTACCTATATTGATTGCTCCTCCTTTTTACCCATACTTTTGTTACTTATATACTTATTTGTAATATACATTTTATACTTGATATACATTTTATACCTAATATACATTTTATATCTGATATACACTTTATACCTGATATACAAATTATACTTTCTATATATTTTCTCTATATTTTTTTTACTATCTTTTTTCATGCTAACAATATATATATTTTTTTGTGTTTAACTAGCTGAACCTTGCCTAATTGTGTTTTATTATTTTATTCACATATGTATTTTATATATTATAAAAATTACTATCTATAAACAATTCTATACATTGCTAGACTATGTTAATTTTACTCCATATTGGCTTGTTACTATCAGCGTCATTCTAGAGAAGTTGTGCTGAGGTTAACATGCCAAAGTCCCATTAGTGTTATTATTATATCATTATATTTTATTTGATACTGTAAGAATTTTAAGAGGAAGTTTGAATATGGGGAACTGGGAATAGTACCTATTTTTGGTGAATAAAGCTATTGCAGAGAGAATCCTTCTAAACCCGACCACCTGCAAATAGGTATACTATTTAATTTCTACCTTCCTAGAGTTATTCAAGAATATTCAAGGAACTTATTTCATAGACTTATTGCCCATAAATTGTTTCAGCTATTGATACTTACTACTGTTTTGGCTGTCTTCTTAGAATAGGTAATTGTCGAAGCAATCTATTATTGGATTGGAATAAGGCCTTTCTGAAAACTTGCAGGAAGAGATATCAGATACCACAGGAAAACAATTACCAAGCTATCTTTACTGAAAGCAGACATCTCATATACCTTACAACTTCCAGCAATCATCATAATACCAACCAGATGATCGTCACGCCACGACACCTTTTCTGAAAATCATAATCTTAATGCTCACTGGATTAGTGTATGAAACGGCTTCTTATAAGAAATAGTACTTATATAAGTTATGATACCAGATATCATATTAATTCTATTCAACCACTCTCATATGGAATTGAACTGGTATCTTGTGATTTGATATGTGGAGTGTTAATCACTACACTATAGACCTACAGGTCATATATTAAAAATATATTAGAAATATATTTAGTAATTAATTTTAATTTAATTAATAAATTAAAATATTATAATTATATTATATTGTATTAATAATTTTTAATTTTGATATTTTTAAATTGATATTGGTTTTAGTATTTATCAATATCAAAACCAAAAAATTTTTTCAGTATTGATTTTAAGAAATACCATATCAAATAATACTGATTGAAACTTTAATTATATTACTATAAAAAATATACTTATTTAAAAAAGTTTACTGTAATTTTCAAATTTTATTTGAAAAATAATAATCTATAAATAATAAATTAAAAATTAGTTTAATTCTAATACAATATGAATTAAATAAAACTTGCATATATACTGCATATAAGTTTATATAAATTTATTTTAAAATTCTTAAATTTGTTAAGTTTAAAAAAAAAAAAAAAAATTTTTTTCAAAAGTATTAAATCGGTATTGCTTAAATTTTCTTTTGATTTTTAAATTAAATTAATATCAAATTTTTTATTATAAATTTAAAATCAAATTTTCAGTTAAAATATATACAGTACATATTTATTTTACTATAACAAAAATCTGATATTGCTAAGCTGCAGTATAATTGATTGACATAGTTTTGACATTCATTTTAAAAATAAATTATCACGAAAAATTATAAATTCTTTATTTTTTAAAGGAATTTAAATTTTTTCATAAAAGAATTTTTTCTTAGCATTTTTTTTTTCTAGGAAAACCTGTGATTTTCTTATTGTTAAAAACTAGTCTGTGTTTCTATTATAATTGCAGTCTATGTAATTATAAACTTTTAAATGCACAAACTCAAAATTAAAATAAATATTAATAAAATATTTTGTCAATAATAAAAGTATGTAAAGTCTATGGGTGGATTAAATAATATACTGGTAAAATTTAGATTACAATAAACATAAGTTCACCTTGAAAAAACTCTCCTTGATAACAAGATTGATTGTTTGACAAAAGAATGTTGTTTTCTGAGATCAAAGATACAATATGGTACTATCTGATGATGTTCCGTACATAGAACAGACTGTACGCAGCACGAGTCTAGACATAATCGTGTAAAGATATTAGGAATTAAGCTTAGAGAAAGATCACGATACTAGAGTGAAAAACAATACCTTAATATTTCGCACATCACACAAAGAAACACGACTATCATCATAATTATTCCATTCGTGCCTATACCCATTTCGTATACATGCCGTATAGTGCCCTCCGTTTAAACCACCGTAATGATTTGAAATTGCATACAAATCATATACAAATGGACCAGTTTGTTGTAAGTTATTTAATCGACCACTTCCGGGGATATTAATTTTGTGTCGATATCTACTAAGAGGATTGGATGGTGGTATTGGAGGTGGAACATATGCTGTCAAATCCAAATTCCAAATAGGAAAATCAACCATTGTTTCGAGTTTATCTCTAAAAGGTCCGTTAAACGAAAATCTTTTAAGGTGTATCAGTAAAACGTCCGGCAAACGGGAAATGGTGAGTTGTTTCGTAGCACGCCTGCAAATCTTGCAGTTTGGACAGTGCCAAGCATCATCACCCTCCAAAATCTCCTCTTTAGTGAAGTGTTGCAAACACATATCTAGATTAACACTCTCCCCCTCGCGTTTTGCAGGAATAGGCAGTGACAAATACATAAAGGTATTGTAGCTAGTGGACGTTTTTTTGCACGTTAAGCACATTAATTGACTACGGAATTGACCTTGAAACAAGCTAACAACCACCGAACTGTTTCGCGTTAGATATCTTTCCCATTCAATTTCAGAAGAAATCTGTGTTGGTAACGACTCCATTAGTTGTTCCTCTTTTTCTGTTAGTTCCCTAAATGTTTGCCTTTTCTTGATTACATTCAAGTCTTCATGTAGACCATCCAATAAAAATGCGAGAAATTCCTGAGAGTCTTGTTGGTCTGAACCAGAAAATTGTGGGGCAAAATGACCAATGGCTTCTTTTAATGTTATTGGAGAAACAAATGTATATGTTCCGCTCCACATTGATCTAATTAACTCGGCAAATGCCTCAGCCAGTACGCCCTTAGTACCAAAAGGATTGACCTTATTTATATGTCGTTTATAACTACCATTCAAAAAGTATCTTGAGAATGGAATGGTTCCACTTAAGCATTGAATGACGGAGTTCATAAAACAAGTGTTTCCCAGATTCTTTAAACCAGTTATACCAATCCCAAATCCAAATTGCGAAAAACTGCTCTCAGAAGTAGGAAAGTATCGATTGTTTTGCATAGGAACCGTATCTGAACGGTATTGCACGGCCGTGCGCATATTAATATTATTAGGCGGATAAAGTGCGGTAGCTGCAAAATTCTTATTACTAATTTCGTTACTTTGAGGATTTGGAACAAACGCTGAGATTTCTGATATTGATTTCTTAGGTGACACCCGCGACAGTTGGGATCGTATAAAAGGCCGAGGTATTGATGTAGAATACTCTGGATTTTTTACCTCACTAAAACCATGATACGGGTGATCAAATATAGTACGGCGTCGTTCCAAAGTAACACCTGACCGCGTAACCTTTCGCTTGTTAGTGTCCGATGGTGAACCGGATATTGGTATATTCGATGGCATACTCGATGGCATACTCGATGACATTATACTTGGTGATATATTCGGTAATATATTTGGTGGTCTATTTGGTGATATATTTGATGGTACATTCGATGATATGTTTGATGGTGCATTCGATGTATTTGATGATGTATTCGATGTATTCAATGCTGCATCCGATGTATTTGATGATGACACGATTGGTAAAGATCGTGAAGGTTTCAATGATAATGACAGCATAGATAAAGCTTGTGGAGGTTTCAAACTTTCTAGGGCACTTGGAAGAGAACCAGTAGGTTTATGTGCAGTGCTTGAATTATCGTGCACGTCGTTTATTTCTTGGTTTGTGGAATAATCCAATCTTGTCTTAGACTCTATTGGAAAATCACTAGGTTGTGTGTACTGAAAAAGTAAAATAAAGATGAACGTTAAATCCCATAAACTTGGTGAAGCCCTTCTTTAAAACTAAATATCACTTACAAAATCTATATAACTCTGCTTATATGGAACTCTACTGGAGTCAGTTGCATCGCTTCGATCTATGTTATCCAAATCTTCTTGTCTTGTAGGAGAGGACGATAAATGTCTGAAAAATAAATTTTGATATAAAGACGTGAGAATATTAACAAATATGTAACAATGGTGATTAATCTATATTTGTTGAAATACTTTAGGTCACCAATAGGATCCAACCAATATGGACTTTCATTCAAAATTATAAGTCCGTTTCGCTTCGACTTATCTCTCGAATCTTTCCTTTCAGTAGAAATATATTCCCTTTCAATTCCTTCGGCCCGTTTCCTATTAACATTGCGTTCAACTCCTACTTCGCCTGCTAAATGAAGCCAAGCGTTAAACCCTCCACTCAGTAATACAGGATTCCTAGTCAATTGCTTCTTATATTCATTTACATAAATCGATTCGAATAAATTCTTCATCACATTCTTGTCGTGGATCGAATCGGAATTCTTATCATGAAACACGACCAAATCAAATGTGTGTCGGTTAGCGAAGAGAATCATCTCGTGCCCGGAATAAGATAGTAATTTTTCTTCAATTTCTATTGAAGATATTCTATTATAAAAAATAAAATATTAGAATGTTAATGTAAAATATTCAACATACTAGAAGCAAAGAACGTATTTTCCGCGATAGAACTTACTCATCCATTAAGAAGGATGGTTCTAAGCATACAATATCCTTCGCTTTAATGTGACCCTCTTCAAATTCCGCTCTAGGTCTGACATCTAATATCAAAATTCTTGGTGGATTTTCGGTTTCATTCAAAAATTTATGTAGCTGAAATGCTTGTATCGATTCGGAAAAAGGAAAATCTCTCAATGGCGATTTTTTTTGTGTCAATGGCGTACGCGGTGTAATGTCAAATGACAGAAAACCATTATCCTTCTCGGGGGTGTTATTGAATGGAACTACGGTGATATTCAGTTCTGAAGTAGACTTCTTATGGCTAATATTATTTCCTAATATATAACTTGGAGAGAGAGGTGTCTCCGAACGCAGCGGAATTTGAATCGGTGATGATTGTAAAATTTTATAAGATGGCGACATCTGAGCATTCTCCACTTGATCCTTAATATCTTCCTTTACTTGTAATATTTTTTCCACATTTTTATTCTTTCCCGTGGGTTTCTGTATAACACAGCTCAAATAAGAAAGAAAATTAGCCTAAAATAATTTATTCAACAAACTCACCTCTTTTTCGAAGAATTTTTTCATTTATGCGATGAACCGACGCGTAAAACAACTCAATGTAAATCATGTTCTATTTACAATTATTACTGCCTATTTTACTATTGCAGCTAAATATGCACCCTTTAATACTAAAAGAAAGAATTATTATACCGGAATTACGGTCTTTGTCGAAAAATGTTTCAAAAAAGGAAATAATCGATCCGAATGCGAGGAATCGATCATGTGTATTGATTTGATTAACAAAAATGAACGTTACATATAATAATAATAATAATATCTTGTTTGTAATATGAAGACATTTAATAGACCTCAATCCTAATTTATCTTTGGTGCTAAATTAAACCGAAAACATCACATGCTCTTGCAACGTCTAGCAATATTTTCTTTCTTTTTATCAAGCCAAGCTTTTAATTAAAATCCTTTGTTTTCTAATTATATTTATTATATATACATACAGTACATGCATTATATATGAATTTTTGTTTAAAAAAAAGATTACGATATTCGAAAAATATTTCATAGTCGATAATTTTACAAGTTTTTAAGTACTGTAAATTTTTTTTAATCTTTTAATTCATGAACGTCTTGAAACATCAATTGGATTTGTAATGTATGTTTTTCATCGCAAAACAGCCATTCATTATGAAATTTTATTAAACCAAGCGATTTATTAAATTAATGTTTTTGTTTACTTAATATTTTTTAATATTTATTAATATTTATTGGTTTATTGGTTTATTATAAAATTCTAATTTTTATAAAAAAACAATAATTATATGGTGCATCAAGTCTTAAAGATATTAAATATTGAATTATTGCTAAAATTTATAAGGTAAAAAAAAGAAAAATCCAATATGTAAATATAATTTAAAATTAAAAACATATACAATAGAATTTTCACTAGTTAAAATTGATTTACAAATCAATATAAATAAATCAATTTGATCAATAATATAATTCTGAATTAAAGGCATGTGTGTTGTCAGGTTAAGTAATAGGGGACCCTAGTAATAGTTAACAGGTAAAAAATACAAAACAAAAAGCCCTCTGAAGTTCACACTCAGGTATAAACTCACCTTCATGGTGTAAGTTGGTACTTGAGTTAGAATAAGAGCAGTGTGTCAGTTAAACATAGACTGTTCATGTAATGATTAATTGTAATTTATAAAACTTACAATAAAAATCCTCACGTGTATCGCACCTTAGCCCTTAAAAAAAAAAATAATAATAATAATTCTGAATTAAAAAAAAAAAAACTTTTTCTTACTTTCCCTTCTACATTTAAAATTTTTCTTTTTAGAAAGTTTTTAAGTTGTTTATTTTTTTTGTCTTCTTTTTCTCTCTCTTTTTATTTTCCTTTTCTATATTTTTTTATTCTCCTTTTCTTATCTTCTTCTCTCTTTTCTATGTACTTTTTTATACTTTATACTTTCTCCTTTCTCCTTTATCTTTTTTTTCTACCAAAGTTGGATTTTTTCTTTTTTTAAAAAATTTTTTTCTTTAGGTCTCTCTCTCTTTTAAAAACTTTATTTCTATAACATTACCTCTTTAGCCAATTGACTTTCTTTTCTCAAGAACCATATTAAGAAGCAATAATCTTTCTTATGATATAGGTTTCAAGAAATTTTTTCTCTTCCATGGTCTCTCAAAAAAAGAACAAATAGTTTACTTTTCCAAAAAATTAACATGATCATTATTATCAAACTCGATATTGTTTACTAATCAGCAATTAGACTAAATATGTCCAAGAAACCTTTATACAACTATTATTATCTAAAAGTATTCAAGAAATTGCACTTTACAGTATTTAGAATAAAATGGTAGCCAATATCAATACAATTAGCAATAAGTTAAATTAGTTACAGGTGTTATGCTAGTGATTGAAGAATTTAGTAAAATAATATATAATGACTAGAAATTCTAGTTATTTTCCAAAACAAACTAGTAATAATAACAAAAGTTTCTTACTTATCTTTTGAACAATATAGGTTTATTGGATAAAATTGGGTTTTAATACTATTAAGAAAATTAATATAAACTTCACCTATAAAATACTTTTATTACACTTGAAACATGGATGTACCAAACACCTTTTTGTAATTTGAAGACAAACCTATATAAAGTAGTTACAACACTTTTATATAAAAAGGTATTTATTTTCTATCATTTTTAATACTACTTCGCTTGCCATATATCAAGCTATATTTGGAAAGCAAGTATATCAATTCTAATTATGACTTGAAAATCAACTTGTATAGATTAGTTACAAAACTTTCATATAATTAGGTATTTATTTATTTCTAGATAGCTAAATATTATTCAAGGCAATAATATATTTTTTTGAATTTCTTTTTTTTTATATTTCTTGAATAGTACCAAAAGCGTATAAGAGTTGAATCTATTTTGTGAATCTTGCATTAAACTTTTCTTAATAAAAAGAGATATATATGTATATTGTACTATTAATATTGTATCTTGTTTTGCAAGTAAAAATATAATAAATATAATAAAGTATAATAGCTATTTGTTCTTTTCAAAAAAAAAATAATTTTGAATTAAATACAATTTTCAATTATTTACTATATTTACTTAGTAATTCTATAATAATACAATTTTTAAAAATTTTTAAAAAAATTTTTTTTAATTAGATAAATTAGAAAAGAGATTTTTTTAATAAATAAATATTATTTCTTTATTTGATATTATATATAACAAATTAAATATTAACTTGTTTACTTTAATAATATTTAACAAAAATAACAAATCAAACTTTTTCTACTGATTCTTTTGCCAATCCAAAAAACAGACATTCTTAAAAAGTTTTTTTTTTTTTCAATAATAAAGTCTAAACACTTTCTTTAATAATACATATTTCTGAAGGCAAAAGCCTCTTCCACTTATCTACTTTTCTTTCTTCAAAACCTTTTGAACATTTCAGTAACAAAATATCCAAAAACTCATTCATTTGATCTATGGCAGGAACCCCTTATTAGGAAGAAGAAACCTGTCGAAAAATGCCCTCCTTTACTCTTCCTCAAGGTCTGAAATTCTAGAAGAGTTCACTAGTGAATGCATTTCCTAAGCTTTATAAGAATCTTGGGTTTACTATAAGTGAACATCTTTGTTAAAGATGGATAGATAAGCTAGTATTCTGGTCTATAAATATGGATATAAAATTTTGGGGAAATTTTGCCTATCCCAGTTTGACCTTGAATTTTTTGTTACATCAGAATCTCCAGTTAGTGATTGGTCAAGATCTTCGATTGGCTAATTAATACGTAGCAGAAATGTAAACAAGCTATGTACTTCTCACGTGTCTCTGTTACATAACATAACAACGATAATGTAATTGATGAAATCAGAAAAGCAAGGTGTTATGATGTTCTCTTAAATAGAAGTGGCTTGATGTTTTCCCCTCTCCTTTTGAACTGGTTTCTTTTCTTCCCAAGATCAAAAGAAGTCTTATTTCAATCCAGTAATAAGCTTTCTTCATTGATGATTATCCGAAAAAAGGCATCAAGCATGTCAAATCATAAGACTTTATAAGCAATAATTCCTATAATAAGTCTTGCTATAAGTACCTTGAACATTCTTGGTCAGCAATAGAATAGTAGAAATTAAATGGTTTGCCCAGCTGCAAGTGGTGATAAAGGATTTATCCCAATGGATTAAAGTTGATATTGGAGAGTTTTTATTTACCTGAATAAACTCTTTAATTACTCTTTTTTCTTCTCTATTATTTTTTTAAAAAAATAAAAAATTTAACCTCCATAGGATTACAGTGGTTATGTAGGGGTGACAGTTTTAAATGAAAGTTGACTGTGATGTTTTAAACTGGTAGGAAGTTATCAGAATAGAATTGAGCAATTTTTTTCATTCCTCATAATCATATCTAGAGGTCTTAGGCTTATGATGGGTGTGTTGTATAGTGTCAATAAGTTTAGTCTTGTATATAGTATTTTACTATACATGTATAAGAGTCTTTCATATAGAATTAATTAAATATAATAAACATGCAATCTGATTTGAAATTAAAAAAAAAAAAGATTAATAATTTAACTAATATTAAAAAATTTTTAAAAACAATATTAATGTATTAGATAAAAAAGTAGTGAATATGCCTAAGAATCCTAATGATTTGATTTAATTTGATTTAATTCAATTCAATTTGATTCAATTCTATTTGATTTTATTTAATTTAATTTAATTTAATTTAATTCTATTCAATTCAATTTTATTTAATTTTATTTTATTTCATTTAATATAATTTTATTAGATATAATATAATTTAATTAATTTTAATTAATTTTTAAAATAGACCTGTGGATCTATAATGCAGTGGTTAGTACTTCACAGGTCAGATCACAAGATACCGGTTCAATCCCAGATGAAGGTGATTGAATAGAACTCATATGATATCTGACACCATAATCTATTATGTGCTGTTTCTCATATGAAGCTGTTTCACATGCTGATCCAGTGGACATTGAGATTGTGATTTCCAGAAAAGGTGTTGTGGCATGACAATCATCTGGGTGGTGTCACAATAATTGCCATAAGCATGCCTATGGTAGTTGGACTACATGGTAAGCTAAGAGACATGTGTCCAACTCTCCTAATCAAGATTTTTCTTGCGTTTGGATGTACAGATTGGACTGTACTCCATCCTAATCCAATTCTATTTATCTTTGTCACTGTTAACTATCAAGTAAGAAGGCTTTAAAGAAATCACACTATCGCTACCTCTTCTGTGGATAAGATTTAATCTTAATGGCACCTGAGTATGTAGAAGTTGTGCCCTGCTTGGCATTCGTGCCCCTAGATTTGGCAGCCAAGGCCAACTAGTTCTGAACTGGAGTGTCTATTAGGAGGTTTAGGGTTGATACCCTTTAGAAGTTACACCCCATTTGGCCATATGGCCCCTAGATTTGATAGTGTCCAACCAGCGGTTAAACCGGAGCATTTACTAGAGAGTGCATACCAATCTTGAGGGTTCCACTGACATATTAGGATAGCATTTAGTT